CCCTTCGCACAACCAACCAAGTTTAGTGATCGCGAGAGCCGGAAATAAAAAAGTAAAACGATCCGTTGTTCGTTTCGTCGGAGCGCTTTGAGATCTGCTGAGAGTGTGTATTGAACGACCATTTTGCGTCCATTGTGTTACGTGAAACTAGCAGTCAGATAAAATACTATTTTTTTTTTTTTCTCGTCTTTTACATACATATGTATAACATATATATACATAGTCAATATATATTCATATATGTATATACGTATATTAATTCATCAAAGTGGGAATGACTATTGTGTATGTGTGTGTGTGTGTGTGTGTGTGTTTCCTTTCTTTCCACATTCGTCACAACTATTTCCGTAGTTATAATCCTCCTGTGTAACATCTTTTTATTTCTTATTTCTCTTAAACATCGACGTCTCGTAAATATACTCTTTTTTTATATGCTTCTTTCCGTTTTTTTTTTTCTTTTTTGTTCTCTCCTATACGTTCTTCTTCACTACTAGTAGCGTTACTATTATTATTATTATTATTTAGAGTGTTCTTAAAGACTCTGGGATTCTACGACGACGAGAAAAGTGTACTTTGTTCGTGTGTGTGTGTGTGTGTGTGTGTGTTTGTGTATGGTTGCAGTACTCTTAAAAACAGTATTGTTTAGCCCTTTGAAAGTACATATAATATATCTATCTCGCGGTGATTTGGCGTCCAGCCGTCAAAATAGTATCTTACCCACTTCTAGAAACTAGACAACGAAGGTTCGAGGAGGGTAGACGCTTTTATTTTATACCTTACCGGTTTTCTTATTATTTTTTTTTTCTGTTTTTCATTTCTTGCTTTTTTTTTCATTAGGCACTTAAACGTCGGGAGTAGTGTACGGGAACCTTAAGGTGGAGGTCCATCGAACGCCTGGCTATTTGCTATTTACAGTCTTGACTGAGACGCGTGTTACATCTTCCAGGAGGAATTGTGTTTTGTTTTTGTTTTTTTTTTTTTTTTGTTTTAGACGAACCGTACACACCGCGGTATCATTTGCCGAAAGAGAGTTTAGTATTCCGCGAAATACACGTTGAAACGAAAATTCGGAAATACTTGTCTCTTCATTTCTGTGATTTCTACTTTTTTCGTTCGTTTTGGTTATTCGAGTTTAGCGTGGAACACTGCACGCGTGTAGATTTCGATAATCGGTACAGAAGAGACGTGTTCCTGCGAGATCCCGCAGATTTTGTAATTATATTAACGCGTAAGATTTCTGTGAAATTGCGTGTGGAACGTTTTAATTGGAAATTTTCTGCAAATGACGCACCGCGAGTGTGACACTCGTCTCGACGGAAAAGTAACTGCCTGCACGATATTCTAGCTAAGAAATAAGCACGATAAAAATTAAAACAGACGTACCGACAACTCAACGACATTTACAAATGTAAAATTCGTTTTCCTTTTTTTCTTTTTTTTTTTTTCCTGTTTTCTTCTTCTCTGCGTATGCCCGACGATTGAGGCCGGACAGACACACACACGTAGAATTGTTTCGTGTCAGATTTACACTCATACAGAGACTTTTGCGCGCATATATGCACTCATGCAGACACATACACACACGGCATCGTGCACTATATCAAAATACACTTACGTTCTCCTACAGAGTAATCGATTTTT